ATGCAACTTGCATCTAAAATATAACATGCTACTGCTACAAATCAGTGTTTCATCACACGTTCTATCAATGTGATAAAATTGAGACGCCCTAGGCGTCATCACACAAGAGATCAATCGAAGAACTTTGTTTCATCACACGTTCTATCAACGTGATAAAATTGAGGCATCCCAGGCGTCATCACAAAGCAGATCAATTAAAGAACTTTGTTTCATCACACGTTCTATCAACGTGATAAAATTGAGGCATCTCAGGCGTCATCACAAAGGAGATCAATTAAAGAACTTTGTTTCATCACACGTTCTATCAACGTGATAAAATTGAGGCATCCCAGGCGTCATCACAAAGCAGATCAATTAAAGAACTTTGTTTCATCACACGTTTTATCAACGTGATAAAATTGAGGCATCCCAGGCGTCATCACAAAGCAGATCAATTGAAGACTATTGTTTCATCACACGTTCTATCAACGTGATAAAATTTAGGCATCTCAGACGTCATCACAAAGGAGATCAATCAAAGAACTTTGTTTCATCACACGTTCTATCAACGTGATAAAATTGAGGCATCCCAGGCGTCATCACAATATAGATCAATTAAAGAAATTTGTGGCATCACATTCCACAACGTTCTGAAATTGAACTGATGCAAATTGCATCCAAAATATAATTCTTGCTTGTATTGTAGGTTTAATAGTGATCATTTGAGTACGTGAAATTCACTGTGGTTGTGGTTAATGTGGTTTAACAATCACGGAGACGAAGAAATGTGCTTTGTGTTTACTGGGCTTTCCTAACCTCACTTTTTCGTGGATTTTCAAGAAATTCGGTAACGAAACGAAATCAGCAGCATAAAAGGATACCTCGTTGTTTACAAAACAAAACTAATGTATTTGATATTTCACTAAATGACCAGAACAACAATGATCTGCCATTCACCAAAATCACCAAGATGACTCTTATTGTTTCATTGGGACATTGAATCATTGAAATGAATTTCATTCCAAGTAAGCCACTTGTGTGATTCGAAGCCCTCTGCTGATGTAGTCATCAGTACCACCATATACTTCTATACGGTGTCAGTACCTACGAAGGTAAGTAAGTTTTAGATATGATTTGCCTACCCTTGCAGTTTGCACACCATCATGTCTAGGTGGAATTCATTTCAATTGTATACCAATTAAATTTATAATCATTGAATAATCATTCATAAATCATTGATGACCACATGAAATAGATATCTGCAAATAGATGATAATGTTTTGGTTCTTTATTCTAGCTAGGTTTGAGGCTATTTTTCAGTTTTTAAGTACTTGTGATTCTTTGTATCCAACAAGGAAATTCAACTCTGCAATTTTAGTGACAATATTTGTAAATGTATCTTGTGTTTTGTGTCATATTTTTATTATTAATATAGGTATGCTACTAGTTTGTAGTTTGAAATTGAATTTTTATTCCAGCTGGACTTCAAGAAAGACAAAAATATACTGAAGAGACCAGGTTTTGATTCCCGTGTAGGGAAGACCAGCTGGTTAGGCCAATCTGAGAGTTTTCGCAATAATGACAGGTGAACACTTGTTTTGTATACTTTTATTTGCACATGAAATATCAGTTATTCTAGTTGTAGTCAGCTCAACTAAAGATTTTTATCTCGATTTTGATGGAAAAATGGTTGGAGAGAACAGTAAAAACAAAACAATGATCTTCCATGAAAATGAATGATAACTTCTCTATGATCACTTCCAAGAGATGGAATCTGCAGGTAAAAAGGAAATAAATGAAGGAGTTATGGAAGAAAACCATGCTGTGATCATCATGAAAACTGGGAACGCCCTGTATATTCTATTTCATATTTTTATTTTACATATATTTTGAGGTTTGTTTAGTAATTTGTCAATGGATTGGAATAAAGTTTACATTTTTACTCCTTTTGTTTCACTGTTTTGAATGCCACTACATGTGTTTAGGGGTATATTAATGGATTTTTTGATTTCAACATCTGAAAATCCAAGAATATATCCTAAACATTATGGTGTTGCATTCAAAACTGATTCAAATACTGGTGGAACCAGTATAAATTTATGGATGATTTGAGATGGAGCTAATGCAGAGCACAGATTTATCAGAAACGTCTCTGGCAAGCTCATGGAGAGAGCTATGTAGATACATAGTCATCACTGTGATCTCACAGGAGCATATCTGTTTCAAGTCTGATGTTGCATCACTGATATAAGTCTGTGATTTCATTTGAGGCGGACATTCATCTATGCTATATCTCTAATGGGAACATCTCTGTGATGAAACATGGAACATTTGAAATGCAGCAGGGATAAAGCTGCGACATGTTTTGGTTAACTGGGTATTAGTCTCAAATAATCTGAGTGTTGAAGTTTATGTATTTAATTGAAAATGAACATTCTCAGATATATTTATGAACACAAAAAAATGGATATATATATATATATATATAAAGAAATACATTGAGAATTCGCATTCGCCATGTGATGAAAATATCAATTCTTTCACGGTTTATTCTTTATTCAACAGAAAACAACTGCTTTCCTGGCAATATATGTCACGACGAATATTGAATTACATCTATTGAACACACACGATGAGAATTTTTATGTAGGTAACTTTTGTTAATGCATCGCTGATTTGATCACAGCCTACTTGGAAAAAAATAGCATCTAGGAATTTGCGAAGTTTATTGTAACGCAGATAATACGCAGATATCTCGAAAACGGCCAGTTAGAGACATTTGCAAATGATGCATTTTTTACGTGAAAGATATGTTAAATACATAATCTTCAAGTTGAATAATTTCAGAGATTTGATGTACCGTAAGTGGTGCCCTCTAGTAGTGGCATCCAAACTGAGAACGGATTTAAATTTCTAGTCTCAGAAAACCCTCTTATGCCAAATTTTGTGACGTTTTGCACCCTGTTGATGAATTAGGTATTGAGAAAAAACGAAATGCATATCGAAACTTTGAGACCCGTGCCGCACCTGCTGTCGTCACTTCAAAGGGAACTTCCAAGACGCCGACGCCGCACAGCGCGGGGTATTCTGCAATGGATTATGGATATACTATACCAGAGATTAGTCAACCGTTCTGTGGTTGACTAATCTCTGACTATACCTACCCATATTGGTTTAACAAGTTTCGTATTATTTCTTCCCCACGTTGGCATCAACGCCTATTGGTCGATTTCGTTACCTATAGAGACAGAACTTGGTCCCGCTTTAAGGACAGCTATGCTTCATATATGAGTAGTAGATATATGCCAATATGGCTGTTTCCATTCTTCACTTTCCGTCCTTCAAAAAGTACCTCTCATTTTGGTCCCATTTTTGTTGATATATCGTATCGGCGATGCCCTATATATCGAAATAGTAGATATATATGGCCATAATCAATGTCCGGTCGCAAATACATCTCCATCATATTAGCAAAAGAAATAATACAATTCACTTGCCATTTATGTTTATTATTCCAGAGTTGACTTGTAAAAATATGTGCAGAATTTAATATCACCAAAAAGTTTATCAAACATGTCGAATAAATATAACATAAAAATTTATACACAATATTTTGGCACAAAAATACTAACGATAAAACACTTTGGGCTTCAACTGCTACCAATGATTTGTGAAATATAAATATCTGAAAATTTAAAAACAACTAATCACCTATATTTATCACCAGATACTATAAATCAATTCCTTATATTCAAAAACAGTATAATCAAAAATAAATGGTAGGACAGTAAAATCATTATATAGGTACTTTTGTGCATAGATTTCCTTTACATAATCACTAAAAATAACAATCATTAATCATAAAAACAACTTGATCCGTCAAACATAAGACTTACTGTGATGACACAGTCTCCCATACCACCCTGGATCACAAACACAACTATCATCAACACAAGTTCCATGTTTGCAAGCTAACTGACAGTTACTACGGTGCGTTTTTGCCCTTCCTATTTCACAGTGATCTCCTCTGAAACCTCTAGGACACCTGCACTTATTTACTGCTTTACATTTACCACCATTCAAGCAAGGGATAATACATCTTGCTAGAAAATAAAATTTTTATTGGATTTGTAGTTTTCTTTGCACCAGTCCATAATATCTCATTTGATATGATATCTCAAAAATGTAATGTAATAATGTATTATACCGGGAGTCCCAGGTCTTTTCATACAGCCGATATCTCAGTTATATAAAAGCGCAGAAGCGCCATATGATATATATTTTTTTATAATTGACAGATAGAACTGTCAACTATCCTAATTGACAGATACTAAGTGTTAAAGTAGCCTACTTGACAGATACTAAGTAGTAACTAGTATAATTGACAGATACTAAGTGGTAAGTAGCCTACTTGACAGATACTTATTAAGTGGTAACTAGTATACTTGACCAAAAGTTCATGTAAACATCAAGAAACAGGGTGTCAACGTTCTTTACCATAAATATTGCAAAAATCTCTGATCAGATTTCGTTGAAATATTGCAGTGTTACTTATTGTAGTAATTGTAGCAGTAAAAGTTATAGTTAAGCCATTACTAGATGCACAAAAAAACTTTTTTTTTTAAGTTTGACACTGTATATCTGGAAAATTATACATTTTCGGAGCTATGGTCATATCATGAACTTTTCATCTTAAGACCACTAAAAAATCGCCAATATAAGTTTTGCCACATACTTAAATAACACCCTGTATAATAGGGTATATACATATATACACTGGGTGACAGCTTACAATTAAGCTTGGGACATTTTTAGGTTAGTTCAACTTCAGTCTCAGAACGACCTTGAAACCATTCAGAGAATTTTTGAAAAATCATAAAATTTAAAGTATTAAACAGCAAAAGTGAGAATTTTTATAGAATCTGAAAAATATGAAAAAATATCATGACAAACATATTTTCCATATTCAGAAATGCATCCCAATGAAATCCAAAATGTTTCACCATTTCTCATATACTCACAAAATTCACAGTGTGGACCATAGTAGCCTTTTGAACATTCACAAGTATCTTTTTGAACACATTTGCCTCCATTCAAACATTTTTCACTACATATTCCTGCAAATGATTGATTGTTGCAATATTATTATCAATGCTGAATTTCATTTTTTTTACCTCCTTCACAATGCCTTCCTTGAAAACCAGGGGGACAACTACATATACCAGGAGATGTGCAGTTACCCCCATTCATACATTGGGGGTAGCATAATGCTGTTCGACAATATTGTCCCATATAACCATCAGGGCACTGACAGATTTTCTCATGATTACACCATCCTTGATTTGCACACTTCTTATCACACTCAGGATCAGGACCTACAAAAAACTTAATTATAAATTATGTTAAAATGAATATTTGTGTTTTACTTCTTTGAGAGCATTCTTTCTTTAGTTTCAACCTCAAAGGGGTTCCATTTAATGGTTTTCCTTTTCTACTCTCAATCAGTAACCCTATGCCAAATTTGGCAATGCCAGAACTATTGCCAAGACAATTGAGAAAAATACTGAATTCTTTAGGTCTGCGTGGTACACGCCCTTTAGTTTTAATAGAAATAACAGGTGCTTCTAAAATACTTTCATCATATGATTGTAACCTATCAAAATGATAGTAATATTTTTTGTTGCCTGCCTTCCAAGTGAAGTTCACATAGCCAACTTCAGAGGGGATGACAGGTAGATATTTTTCAAAGTTTGGGTCAAGAATATATGGCAACACATTTCCATTTACTATAGCATATATTTCCATGGACATTCCTACAACAAAATTACTTTAATTGTGTCATTATTGGGATTCAACCATTGGCACTAACCACTGAACATTTTAACTTGTTTCTCATCTATCCATAAAGCCAAGTCACCATTGTTCCTGGGGTCGTTTTTTGGATCATTTCTAGACTGTACTGATGTAAAAGCATATATCATAACCATCAATATGAATTTCCACATCATGTTGTCCTTTGAATTGGTGCTTCGAAAGTCAATAAAATACAATATGACAACAAAAACAGCATTCAATCTTTGAAAGTTCTGAGAACATGATTCATATACCACAATAAAACCACAAATACTACATCAGTAGTGTTAGGGTGGAAATATCCTGCACAAATTTAAACTGTAAACAAAAAAGTTAAAGGAGCACTATCAGCACTATTGGTCAATTAGATTTTAGTATGGTATAAATCCCTGCTGCATAAATCCACCCTCAAGTTGAAAATAAAATATTCATACCATTAGTATTTTAAGCTTCATTCCTCCTTTGGAATATCATAGGATTTCAAAGAAGTACTTAGACAATGAATTTGCAGAAAATTGTTATGATATTACAAAGCAATACCAGAACACCAAATAAGCCTTATTTCTTGAAATACAAGGCACTCGACAAGGCATTACAAAAGCAATTCAACCTAAAATTCAGAATGTTCAACTTACTTCATTTACTGAAAGAAATCAGCCAATAATTATTTGATTAATAATTCATTTTATGAGGGAATACCTATGCTAAAAATATCACCAGGATAAACATTTCTTAGTTTGTTTATACATTAGCAAATTTTGTTATTCCAGTTGTAAAACAGTTTGTGAGTTTTGTATTTGTTTTGTTTATTTGTTTACGTGAAGATCTCTTCTTCTTTTTATTCGTTTGTTTCTTGTTCCTTGGCTTTCTGACCAGTGCTGCCATATATCTATATCTCTACTATTTCCATATATGGCGCATCGCCTATATAATATCTCAACAAAAATGGGACCAAAATGAGAGGAACTTTTTCAATCTATAAGGACGGAAAGTGAAGGATGGAAAATTTGAAATTCATAGCCATACTGGTTTAACATGTTTCGTATTATTTTTTCCCCACGTCGGCATCAACGCCTATTGGTCGATTGCGTTACCTATAGCAGAGATTAGTCAACCACATACTAATCTCTGCCTATAGAGACAGAAGTTGGTCCCGCTTTGAGGACAGCTATGCTTCATATACATATTTATCTTCTACTCATATATGCAGCATAGCTGTCCTCAAAGCAGAACCAACTTCTGTCTCTATAGGTAATGAAAAAATCCAATATGGGTAATATGGCAGTTTCCATCCTTCACTTTCTGAAATTATTCTAAAATTGTTCTATCCGTCATTCGGTTGCCCCCTTAGGAGCAACCCTCAGAAGTCTTCGAGAGACTTGTGCGAGCAAGGAATGACGGGGGCCTTACCTTTTAACGTGTGATTCCAAACATTTCGATCGTGTCCTGTCCTGTTCTTATAGATTCGATTAGTACCTCTCATTTTGGACCCATTTTTGTTGAGATATCGTATATAGGCGATGGGCCATATATAGAAATAGTACCTATTATGAGTGCTGCCAACTCAGCCATTTTGGTGGCTAGTTCTTTCCGTTTTTGAACTCGTCTAGCTACTAAAAATTGCTTCTAGCCATTTAGCTAGCCATTTTTCTAGATAGATTTTTTCTGAATTTCTATAGAAATATTTTAATTTTCATGATATTCCCATAGATAGTTCATTATATTTACGCTGATCTGAGTAAAATTTAGACCAGTTTGTATTTCTTATTTCTTTGGATTTTGTACCTACTCCTACTCCATGCACATCACGTCATACGTCAATGTCAATACTATTAGAGTCAGTAGGGTCTAGCTCTACATCTGAGCTAAATTTTAATGCCAGAATCGTAGTCCATGGTCATATTTCTTGTTTTTGCTAAAAAAATTTACAAAGAACGACTAGACAAATTTTCGCCTGCGGCACGCTTCCAGTCGTTTTTGAAATTGTCTAATGGCAACACTGTTTCTGACTCCTTGTGGTGCCAATTTCACCATAGTGTTTTGTGGTATTTTGGTGCTTTGATTATTTGAATTATATTTCAGCGCCTCGTCCTCAAAATCACTTGTGTAGTATAGCTATTCTGTACTAATTGACCAAGTGATCTTTTCGGACGAGGCGCTTCATGCTTCATATAAACTCGATCGAACTTCACTAAGTTCGTTTGATCAAGCAATCATAGTAGGAAGTGAATAGCAAGACGTCACAAATCTAGAAGTAGAAGCTTTATATTGTATGGTAAATAGAAAGACACCCTGAACTACAAGGAATTTTTGTTCCATATGTGTACAATTTATTCTACTTGTTTCATTCACCTAAATGCTGATATTGGATTTTTCGATAAATTTACTCAAAAGGTTGATTTTCTTATCATGTAAGTTACATAAGGGACGTTCTCTTATTCACCGGTGGCCAATGAACTCAATGTAAAGACCTACGGACCTACGGAGCTTCAGCTTCTAATTGAAAACAATCTAAATTACCATCAAATCACGAGAAGAAAAATGAATAAAGGAAAAAACAGTTGTGTGATTGTCATGTCAAATAACTGCATTTTTTTACACTGGTGACTCCAACAATTCGGTGCATCAGAGAGTGACGTCACTTCTATCAATGATGAAAATGTGGTGTAAAAAAGAACATAGATCTCAACCGATCTTAACTGAAAAATGAATAGTGACAGTAGTGAAGTGACATTGACAATCTAGACAATCTGACATGTATCAATTTAGACAACTATAAATATTGATATCGCCATATTCCTTATCAATAAACTCAATACAACTTAATTCGGCCTTATATTCAAATTTACAATTTGCACTTGTGACTATTTATATTTTTATAATTCATATTATCGCATATTTCATATATTCATACAATCATAAAAAGCGCAAGGTTCAGGATGATCAACACTGATGCACAGAGATTATTCAAAAGTGAAATTCAAAGATTTTTCTATATATAATATATATCAGTTAACCATTTAAACTGTGATGATAATGACGCCTTTGAATGAAATAGATTCTCACTTTGTGAAATGTGTAGGCTATCTGCATGGAAGCTCCACACTTCGAAGGGGAGATCCTGTTCCACTGCAATATGTTTTGGAAGAGGCCATAAAAAACAAGTATGGAATTGTCAAAGACTATACAGACTTAGTACAATCTTGTTTGAAGCCAAGAGAAGAAAAGTATACAACTATAACTCATTATGAAGAAAGCAAGGGTTCCAATTCTGATAATGAATTAGAACTTGATCTGCTTAAGGAAGATCTGATGTGTGTTATTTGCAAGTGAGGCATTTGTCTGAGTAAACATGAGGTATTATTTGTCATAATGATATTTTCAGTGGAATGGATGTTGGTGCAAGAAATAGGCTCATAGAATGTACAGACTGTCATTCTCTGTACCACCAAGAATGCCATAAACCTATGGTTACAGAAGATGTCTTTGAGAATTGGGCTTGTTTCAACTGTAAAGTATGTATTGATGTATTCATTGGAATGTAGGATGTTTTGAGATATTTCTTAGGAGGCTAGCAAAAAATTGAGAATAGCAAGTAGTGGATCTTCATCCATGGTGAGCAGTTCTAGTAGTAAATCAAGTTCTCATCGCCATTCAAGCAGTTCTTCAGGAAGTTCTTACAAATCCTCAAGTTATTCTAGGGTTGCTGAGATATGTAAGTAGGACCTTCCTTTGGTGTGCTCTGGGAGATAAAAAAAATCTATAGCTGCCAAAGAATATGGTGTTTGTTTCAGAAAATTTGGTATTGTCCAAAAATTATTATGGAAGTGTATAAAGGTCTAGAACTCACAGAATCCATACCTGCCACATCACAACACAACTCTTCTGGAAGAACCACTGATCTAGCAAATTATTTTATGGTGACATCAATTTGGGTTCTACATCCACTTCCTTATTTTCTCTGCACTGATGTTTCTTTTCTACCAAACACTCTTGCTAATACTGGAATAAATAGGACATTACTGAGGGTGGAAACATGTACATATTTATTAATTCATATTTTGAATATTTGCAAATTTTGTTTTTGTATTCAATGACATAAAAGTAGATATAGTAGCTCTATTACAAAATTATTATTTGTATACTCATTCTTTATTTCTCAAGTCCCTATCACTGACAACATGGAATTCCTGGAAAGATATTAGAACTATCACAACTATTATAGTGGTTCACTGAATGGAATATTGATTATACAGATGAATGTATAATTATCTAACTGTTGAATAATGCCAATTTCAGTACCTTGGATATTAACTTATTAAATTATCAGAATCGTTCTTTTGGGACTCATAAGTCTCAGATTATTTAGATGATGAATTAAAATAACAAATATCTAAAGCTAACATCAGGTGGGCACTTCGAAGGCACAAATTCATTACTGCATGGGAGATAGTGGAGATACCCTTCAGATTTTCAGCTATTCACTGACTTGACAACGAATGACATTTCGCAAACGGCAGCCATTTGGAGGTCTATTGTCACTATTTAATCTACTCACTCTAAATATACAGGGTGTAATTTAATTGATGCCTGAACTTATATGATATGGTTCCTTAAAGCAAAGTTCTTATGAACATATGCCCTAAACCACTTATCTTTCGAATTATGGTGTTAATATTTCATTTTATCTTTTATTGATCTCCTTATTGATTAAAGAAACTTTGATCAAATGTCATTATTTTAAATACAAAATAGGGCACTAGCCTACTAGTTCAAAATAATTTCATTATGCCGCAAATGCATGATAATGATTTTTATTTTTTCACGCGAAAATTGTTTGTCGGACGGAAAAATTTCAGGGAGTCAAATTGTTGCAATATGAATGAGGAGTTCAAAAAGGATTTTTATTCTCGGGAAAATCAAGGGCGTACGATATTTAAAAAAATCTACAGGATACATTCCATTCGAAAGTGAAGAGGATTAGGACATATGCTCATTCGATCTTTTCTTCTTAAAATGAGCTAGGGAACCATAGCCTTTATTTTCAGTCATCAATTAAAATTACACCCTGTAGGGCGAAACAGCTCATTTGTTTTTCTCCAAAAAGAGTAGACCGTAGACCTGTCATAGTCGAGATCACAACCGCTATTAATATTTCGCGATTTGTGTATAGATGGCGGCACGACATACGATCGGTAGAATTGCCTTAATCTTACGAACCATTCCCGTCACTTGATATGGTGAGATTCGTGTTTTTTTCGCAATAAAATTGTGGAGGCTGAGTTTGGTCTGGGAATTTTATTCTAGGCCATGATGTCAGCCCACATGTCAGGCTTTCAAGCAAGTTTTTTCTTTCTCTCGAGATCCCCAGGGTCTCGTTAATATACGAGCGAATGCGCATGCGTCCGTAATGTATCACGTAAATCACTGTGACCAATCAGACAATATAGAGTGGAAATGCTCACCAGTGCACACTGTAAGTGAACCTCCACGTAAATGTTAACGTACGAAAAATAACGCTTACGAATCGTCCTTAAATTTGGTTGAAGTCATCAGTGGCATCGTAACGCTTGATCGTTACGTGGTTATCAATATTTGTATTCGGTTTGTATTGGTCCTTTTCGATTGTTCATGTTCATCTGGGCATTTATTTGTGCTAAAATGAACGGAGTCCTCAATGTTGAACTCTTTGGAGATCCTATAAGCCGCCAATACCAACACCAACGCAAGAGTTAAAAACGAGAAGTGCGCATGCGTACCTGTCAATTTCTAGGTTTACGTTAACATTGTAAACTTCACGGCCACCACAGAACCAAAATAAAGTTAACATTTCAAACCCGAAATTATATTCAACAAAATAATAATAATTTATCAACAAACAAGTGATCCCCACCGAGAGCGCTTCAATAATGCCACCAGTCTCTCTATATGCTACGTATTTGACACCTCATCGCTCAATCACACCCGTGATTTATCATTGTCCAAGTCATATTCCTGTATTCTTGAGATATCGGTCATGTTCCGATATTACTGGCCACAGTAAGCAATTTAGGAACACTTAATTGTAGCAGTAGCTCTGAATTTCCATTTAATTTCGGAAAGATTTTGGCAGTGCTGGTAAACTGGCAGCAAAACCTAACCATAACCTATGATCTTTCGATTTTCGGTGGTTTTGTTGGTTCTTATTTTCATTATTCTCATATTATTATCTTCTTTACTCACGTTGAAATTATGTATAGAGTGATTGATAATATTATCCCATAAGACATATTATCTGATAGTGATTCTGATTCATCAGAAACAGCAAGCTCTCTAGCCGTGATCTGTGCTGGTGAAATATTTGATATCAAAAGTAGGAATAAACATATCTCACAACAAACCATCTCGTAGATTAGTGACAGTGTCAGCGTTTACTGCCTCTGCGAGATCTTCCAGCTCGAATTCATACATTTTCCCGAAGTATTGTAAATTGTAAAATAATGATATATAATTTTTATCGACTCATACCTAATCATTCGAACGCCTAACCTAACATTTCATGAATACTGGCACTATATCACCATTTCTGCACCAGTTGCCAACAGTAAACTTTCAGCCTCTTCAGGGCTCCTTGCAAATGCATGACCCGTGAAAACGTTGCCAGTAAATTTCAGTAAAATTGGAACGATAAAAATATTCTGGGCAGTACAGTCGGAAATATCGGAACATGCTCATGACAGTCAGAATATAGATCGTTCATCGTATGTTGTTGATGAACTCATAAGTCTGGATATTTGAAAAAAAAGTGTAGATTACTGTACTTTTGCAACATGGGTATGTTTATATCGCTTTCCACTGGTTGCCCTAGCTCGAACTTTTTTCGCACAAAATGTTGTTGGACTTCATTTACCATGTATCATCATTCAAGGATAGGTTTATATTGATATTTCAGTCCAGTGGAAAACGGTATCGTGATGGCAGCATATTAAGTCCATGCAGTATGTTCCGAGTGTTTGTTTGTGCTTAGTTCTCAGTTCTATGGTTCGTCTGATTCGTGTTTCGTGTTATCAATGAATGGCATGAATGAAGATTGAAGATGAAGTTGAGAAATGACAAATTGTCATTATTGACAAAATGAATTCTGACTGATTACCAGAGTTGCCGTTTTTAGTACAATTGTACTGTTCTAGTACATTTCATACACATTTAGTACGTCAATACATTTAACACTAATCAAGTACAAAAACAAGAACCGGATAGCCCCATGGCATTGATGTACACAAATCAATTGGAATCCTAATGAAGCCCTCATTGATAAAAAGTCCATAATTTCCAATTCAACGGAGAAACTGAGAGCTGTTAATGATGAATATATTGATTTGACTTTGAAGTTTGAGTGATCTATCTTAATTGATAGTATGATAGAATTTGATCTCAATCTGTAATGTGATCTGGTTTCTTTTCATCTCTTATTTTCGGCTTTCATTAGTTATAATAATTGTTTAATGACCTACGTTATTCAGAGGTGTTTTAATGTGCTGTATAGTATTATTTTAAATTTTTATAAACGAATGCAGCGAACATGGAGTTTTTCATCAAATTTTTGAATCGTTAATTATGAAGTGTTATTTTCACAATTTCGTACCATATACTTGAATTTAGTACAATTTCGTAATTACTTCTAGTAGTTCTAGTACAAATTGAAATTCTGAAACGGCAACTCGGCAACACTGTTGATTACTGATTGAGTTGTTTGTCTGGTGAAAAATATATTTATTTTTGCTGAGTTTTTTGTCACTATCGTTATTTTTATAGCGAAAACCTCAATATTTGTGTACAGCTCCAGTTAATTTTTTTCCCTTTCACATTAGAAAGTTGACTACAAGGTTAATTGTGAACAATATTGACCAATGAAGGTAAGAGGAGTGAAGACGACAGACATATTGCCAAAACTCAATTCGCTCCGTTATCATATTCGGCATCAATCTAAAAATACGGATACAGCCAATTAACGCATTTTTTGATGGAAAAATGTAGAAGTATAATAACCATGATACATTTTATTCTAATTTCATATGGTTCCTACCTAATATCTTCTTTTTGAAATCATACAGATTGGTATCCTCTTATCTACTACCTATTATACAAAATAAAAATGAAATAAACTCTAGAATGTAACAATCACAATTGAATTATGTTAATCACATAATGTATATTGGTTTATTAACATTAGCTAGGTAGTCCATAGGTAGGTATCTATCTTTCTGATAGGTACACTCCAGATAGATAGTCTATCTAATTTTGTACCTAATAGACATTTTTGCAAGGGGAAAATGATTCATGAAAGTGCACTCAGGTACACTCGTCTTCAGAGATCATGTCACACATGGATGGTGTCATCTCCCTTGATCACCACTGCATGCCACTGTAATAAGAGGGTTTATGTACCTACCTATTCATAATTAGTGATTTATCAGATTAACTAATGGGAAAATATTTAATGAAGTGCTAAAATCAAAGAGTACCTAATCCAAATTATTATATTCCTGGTTCATATTTTACCCTATCCTCAGCTTTACTTGCCCTATCCACAGCTTTGCAGACAATTGTATCTCCATACTGCATTCTCTTCTAGAATTCTCATTTCTTCCCAGCAAACTGAGACCTTACAATGTAGGCAAGCCAACGTTGTCATGTTGTCAATGAAGATTATGCTGAAATTACAGCCTGGTGAATCATCAACCTAGTTGAATTCAATATCACCAAAACTCCAGCCTGTATTTTCTCTAGAAAGGTGGAACTCAGTATGCCTGATATAAAAATGTCTGGTACCACCATTGCCACCAAGACCACTATATCGATGCTGGGTATTACTATCAGCAATACTCTTTCTTCGGAAAATCATGTCGGATTCTTGTTCCATGCAAAAATCTACTTTACAGCTTAACAGCTTCTCATGATCTACAGCCACGGCCAGTTTTAGAATACTGTTCTCATGTATGGGGTTCAGCACTCAGATATACGCTGATGCTCTTAGATGAGATGGGGGGTGATGCCACACCCACCAACTCTTTGACCCCATTAAAACACCATACAAAAGTCGGCGACCTTTCACATCTCTATAGATTCTTTCTCGGGAAATGTTCCTCAGAAATCTTTGCTGTAATTCCATCACTAGCAATACCAGTCAGACGCACTCGACAGACCCAGTCAACACACCCCTTCGTCGTTAACCTTGAAAAATTTCGAACAACAACGAACTTATAACCTCCAAAAGTTTAAAAGAAAATCCATCACCTACCCCCTCTCCCTATCCTCCCTAGGTAAGCGCGATGTTCCAGGAACATTATAGGAATTTCCTTTCGTGCGCTCCAAGAGAAAAAAACTTAAATCTTCAACATTTTATTTCCATGAATGTGGAACAGAATCCGGAATAACTACCCCAATAATTGTTTTACACGATTTCAAAATATTTGATACATATAGGTATATGTATAGGTAATACTTATCTAATTATTTGAAAATGAGGTATTAGCTTATTCTTATGCTTTGCAAAAATGCGCCCTAGGCGAAAAAATATATAAAAGTTCCAGGTCATAGTAGTTATGTCCTTATCATTTTTTTCCAGAGAGATAACAACTTATTCGTCCGTTTTCACCTTATTTTCTATTTGTTATTCCATTACTCTTAAAAAGATATACATACATTTGAGGTCCTTCAATGACTATTTCACTCATTATGAAATACACGTTTTTGATTGGTTGAAATGTCTGTGTTGATAATCGAAACATGATGTTTTCGTTTTTGTATTTCGGGAGTCCATTGGCTACTGGATACCTACATGGCTGTGTTTTCGATTTTGTATTTCTCTTCCTCAGTGGCAGTTTCATAAAACAAAAATAAGCAATGGCTCACCAGAAGACTGTCGATGCTGTCATAATATAATTACAAAATCACAATTGAATTGAATAGACCCAACAATATTCTTTAAATTCTAAATAATTTATTGATCATAACTTTGACAAAACGGCAAACGACCATAAATAATAATTATGCTGTCTGTGGCCGTCGACGCATAGTCGACGCGTCGAATATACCTTTGGAACATATCACTCTTATCGACAATACTGAGTATTGTTTTGTTTGTTGCATAAGCGTTCTGTTGATGATCTATGGTTGATGGAGCGCGGTGAAGCGGGGTTAATAAAGCTTATTTGAATCGATAGAGCTGTGGCAGGAAAACAACAAAGTGTGTTGATTCGAAAATGAAAGTCAACAGACACATAAAATGAATGAAAGAAGCCGTTTCAGTAATTACAATTTCGGAGGAATAAGAAATTAAATTAAAGATCTAACGCCGCAAAATACCGTGCGATCGAAAAAATATATCTGGAAACAATTCACAGAATTTTGCAATCAGCGAAATCACCAACTGAAAGAAAATACATCCGATGAAAAACTTGCGGATATCCTCGCGGAATGTGCATTCAATATGCGTAAATAAAAGTTTGGCAGAGTAATTAATTCATTCTTGAAATAATCCTATCAAATACAACTCGTTCAATAGAAGATTATCGATGTATGTATTTCGACAACCATCGATACATTTGTTGTATTACATACGATCACTGTCTATTTCTGACAGTCAAGCTAAACTTGACACGTTCATCCCTCTAATCCCTAGCAACTCCAACTTTGTAAATTCAACTGGAACTCCCATACTCTCAATACATCATTTCAAATCCGTTTCCATTGTGAATACTGTGGTGCATTGTTTTTAAGAATCAGTTGGGATTTTACACAGTTTTCAACAAAAATGTTCACCAGAAATTTGCTTTATGATTCCTAACAAAAATGCTCACCAATATTAAACTTTTCCATCTATACTACACAAACCACATTCATATTTTTCTTTCGTGGATCAATTTACCAAAAACAGAACAGTCTAAATGACCCCCGTTAACTTACACATAGCATGTAATGATACACATAGCATGTAATGATACAGCTTGTTTTTTAATCCTATTTCAACATTATAATAAAATAACATTAGGTTTTATTAGTCGGCATTCTTTGACGCAACTCCTCCAGTGTTTCAGGTTGTTGAAAACACCATTTAAAAAAACAATTAAATTCACCTAGCAGAGTATTTGAAAGCAGTCAAAGAGGTCTGTTTACTCTGTTTACATATCAGAGCTCTCAGAAGTGTTGAAGCTGCCTTCAGGTGGCGACTAATATCGTTGGGCATGTAACCCACAGGTTGTGAGTTTGACTCTCACACGGGGCGGTGGAGTTTTTTCATTCTCCATCGTCACTCGAAATTAGGGCTCTCAATCTCCATCATTATATGTATGTTTCCGGTTGAGTAACCGACAAAAATGATGACTGACTCCTATGTATGATTGCCTTCGGACATTTCCGTGTACAAGAAAAGACAATGCCAGAGGACGGAGGGGGAAATATGGAGACTGTATAGTACCATCCTGCCAGCGATGCTTCATATAGTGCATGATTTCCAGTGACTTCGGGAATTGGAAGGATTCTGCCGCCTGGTGTGTGATGAGAACTCGACCTCCCTGCCGATTGATCGACGGATGTCCCCTTAGCTCAATTGGCAGAGCGTTGGGCATGTAACCCAGAGGTTGTGAGTTCGACTCTCACACGGGGCGGTGGAGTTTTTTCATTTTCTATTGTCACACGAAATTAGGGCTTTCCATCTTCATCATTACTAATATCTATGACTGGACGAGTCGACTCATGTTCAATCAACCATACAATAATTTTTGTTGAACATTTTTGTCTGTGGAGTTTTGTTTCAGATGAGTACACGGGTATTTGTTGGGGGCTTGACCTACCGAATTAAAGAACGCGATCTTGAGAAGTTCTTCCGTAAATATGGCAGAATCAGGGAAGTATCCATGAAAAATGGATTTGCTTTCGTGGTGAGTGTCCCTTAGATCAAAATAAAACATTAATTACTTCATATTTGCTTTCATAGGAATTTGATGATTACCGTGATGCTGAAGATGCAATATATGAGTTGAATGGGAGAGACTTGATGGGTGAAAAGTAAGTACCCAATATATTTCTAGATTATTATTCAAAGAACCAGAAATCTGTATTGATTGAGTTGAATCGTTCCCTTCCTAAAAAAATTTTATCATTATTGACAGTTGCTGGACTTACATTGATGGGAACAGGAATAATAATTAAAACATCCTCATAATATGCCCAGTTTTATTGTCAATTTCTATTGCAGCTATTGTTCGTCCACCTTGATTTAAGGGTGGTTGTGATAAAAGTTTTTTTTTTCATTATTTAGTTTATGTATTTCGTGTAAATGTTGATCATGTTAATCGTGTTAATCTTGTCAATTATCAATATTCAGCACATTTTTATTCTGAATATACATTCCATGAATCATATTGCCACAATATTCTTCAAAATATATTATAAGGTTATCCAATCGAATTATACATACATCATTTTAAAAATATATTTTCCAAATATGCTATTGAGAATATTCACAAATTATTGTGAAAAACTATTCCTGAATTATTCTGAGAACAATAAGTTATTCCCGGAATATCCATAAAATAATCTTTGGAAATATCTATGGAATATTCCCTCAGAAGATTTTCTGAATATTCTTAGAACAATTTGTGCCATCTGTAGCGCTACACTTGATCAATCATTTTCCTCCAAATTTTTTTGTCAAAAACTCGTTTGTTCCAGGATTTCCGTGGAACGTGCTCGCGGTACTCCGAGGGGCAGCGATCAGTGGAGGGGCAGTGGTCGGGGTGGCGGCGGAGGGGGTGGTGGGGGCGGCGGGGGCGGGGGTAGAGGGGGGGACAGCTACAGGGGATACGGGGGTGCTCCCCCGTCGAGAAGTACCAGAGAAACTCGAGACAAGTGAGTTCCAAGTTCCGTTCAAATCGGGTCGAATATGTCTGCAAATAGAAAACAGCCAGCACAAAAACATCTCAGAGATGTTGAAAGTACGAAATATCGAGTCATCGAACGTCCACGCCATGTTCTGCTCACGCATGAATAGAACTTTTATAGAACAGCCAATGTCGGCCGCAGACGGTGTTTATTAAGATATCCTTGGGATATAACAAAAATAAATTCTCTCTAGTTTTTTCGATGTTTTGCGCATATTTAATCGCTGCAAATGGAAAAAGAAGAAAATTGAAAAAGAGCTTGACTCCGCTGGAGAATTGAACCTACTACTCTCTTGTGATGGAATTTTTACAATCCTTATACCTTTTTCACTGCACTATTGGAACCTTATTGATGAATGATATGAATGGAAAAATGTCAACATCCACTTCAGTATAGAGTTAGGATAATTAGCATTGAGGCTAGGGAATATAATATGGTGGGTCAGAGGAGAGACATTATAAATATTGATGCAAGAATAACATCCATTCATATTTTGATACGATTCTGTATATTTTCAGAATATTCTGAGAATATGTCAAATTGAATGTTCATAGAATATTTGTGGCAGGATTAAAATTATCTATGCTCATTCTCAGATCATTCTGAATATTCTAAAATAAGTACGAACGTTCTTAACTTTGTCAGAATATTCGTAGAACCTGACAAGCAGGAGCAGTCGAAATTGTAGGCAACGTAGCTGATGCTGTTTGTTTCGTTGACTAGTTGGTTAATTTCACTGAATTGCCTCGAGACTTGCAGACTTATTTTGTGAAGTGTTCCTTCTTTCCACAACCATGGCACATTACGAGGATGCAAATCATGTCTTCAGAAGAAACACTTGGAAGACACAGCACAAGTTGTTGATTGGTTTGAATAATCTTGAATTTGTTGTGAGCGATCGTCAATATTCCAATGAGAAGCAGCATTGAAAGATCCGTAGAAAGCAGTAGTTGAATATGCCCCCGAATGAGTGAGCCGTTTCCAGAGCTTTAGCTTTATTGAATGCGTCTTGTAAGGACATTGTATTATTTTTGAGGAGTCGTTGTCTAATGTGGGGTGAGCTGAGACCTCTGATGAACGAATCCCTGATAAAATTATTTCTATTCTCAGTTGCTGATACGGATTTGAAATTACATTCTTTGCTCATTTCCGTGAGAATTTGTAGATATTGGTCGAGCAACTCGTTGACCTGTTGACGTCTTGTTGCACTAGGGAGTGTCTGGCAAATATTTCATTTCGTGGTTTGACAATTTGACATGGATTTTGGTAGGAATTCGATTGCTTCTTCACAGGTTGAGCATTCACTTATCTATGCATAAATAGCAGGGCTCACGTAGTTTATCAGGAGGTTGAGTCTATCTCAGCTTTATGTTGCGTTAACAACTTCAATGAACTTTTCGAATTACCGAATCCAGTGTCCACTGTTCGGCAGTAGTTGAGCTTGGCTCAACTTCCAACTTTTCTGGTCTGAATAGCTTATCCATCGGATGTAGACTTGAAAGTCGAATAAATTGTGGAAATAAACCTGAACTGAATTAGGCTTTATTCGACTTTCAACAAACGTGACATTGACAAATAATAAACAGAACAAAATTCCAAAATTAATTCGAAACTAAATAAATTTTCGTGGACCCACGTTTATGAATTGTGAACCCCCGTTTATGGATTGGGGACCACTTTGGGAATCACTGATATAGAGGAATCCCAGGAGTCTACCAGTCTGCCACTGCATTGACTTTTGACATTTTGTAAATATTTCCTCTATATTCACTTCGATCAGTGAAATGTTCATTAAAATTATTTGTAACCATTCTTTTCAAGGTATGGACCTCTACAGAGAACGAAATATCGTGTTTACGTTGAAAATCTATCTAGTCGTATCAGCTGGCAGGTGAGCTTTTCCCATTTAATCATAGATTTTTGGTAAGGTTTGGTAAAAATTAACAGGTTATTTCACAAAAATAAGAAATTTTATGTATTTTAGATCATAATGTATCAAATTGTTTCTTACTTGTTTGCACAGAAGTAAGAGAAAATCATCAAATGGTAGAACCAGATAAATTGAATGTTCAATGAAAAATGATGTAGGAAATGAAATGTTTCTACCAGAAAGATGATCACAATTTATCCATTTTCTCGATCATAGTATTAGTCTCGGTGACAATCAAAACAGAATGCTTGAATTTTTTCGTAAAAAAACTTCCATAGTCTTGTATCCACATATCAATTAAGTATTATACAATATATATTATCTTCATCTTTCATATCAAACAACTACTATAGAAGTAGATATACACAGGATATTTTCGAAGATGAAATTTTATCAACTGTAATGAAGCACTGGCATTTTGAAACTGGTTTTGCTATCGATTTAGTGGAATCCAAGTATATGATAAGCTGCATGAGAATGTGTGAATTTACAATTGATTATTTTCTCATTAGACATTAGAAATTATTCAAAATATTTGGAATCAAGCATAATCAATGAACCTCCACCATCAATGTTAGTTTGTGAAGAAGTGAAATATATCATCAAGACTGTTACTAAAGTTTTTTTATGTAAAAATTAACTGGCACTTCACAGTATTATTTTCGTTTTCAAGTAATGTTGATTTATATCAGTTTATCGATGTTAGATATGTAGTAGTATATTTCTATGAATTTTGACACTAAAGAAAACATTGCACACTTCCATCTTTAAATATCTAATTTGATTATTGTCATTTTTCATTCAACATTTCAAATCCGAAAGAGGGGAAGGGAGCAAGGCCAGTGAGTGAAAAAATGAGGTATCTCGTCCCACTTGACCATGCTGTCCAATAGATATTGAGGCAATCCGGGGTATCACGAGAGACCGACGATGTGTTACCACATATTGAGCAATTCAACTGGTAGGACGCATATGAAGGATCCACAAATTCCCAGGTCATGTCCGAAGATGTGGTTCAATTATCTCCACTTCTTTTTCCCACCTGTTCCTTACCATGGACCATTAAAAATATCCAAATACTGCGGATTTAGCATCTATGACGCAACTCGTAAAAATATTCAAAGTCCTTAACATGGGAAGCTGTTTGGATATTCCATACTTGTCCAGCCAGGTAATACACAACATATGCAGTTAATACAGAAGTCGACTGAGCAACTCTGACGTGTTTTGCAATTGATATTTCAGTGGAAGCTTGAATACTCGTGAATTTTATTTCAAAATATTCCAATAGCAATAAGAATGATTCAGTCAAATTCATGACTGTGGCCCTTTAGCAAATAAAGTATTCACTTGTTATACATTTCACACTTTTCCAAAAAATAACTGAAATGGCATAAAACTTCTGCATCTGAATTTGAATGGATACGTTATTTACGAAAGAACGACTTTCGGAAGAATTGTCCAGTGTTTTAATGGATTAAATTATCCCGTACTTAAATTTTCATATTTCCCCAGTAAATTTTTCAATGACTAATTCATGTTTGAGCTTCTGATCTGCAGAATATACATAATAGTTCATAGCTTCTTAATTTGAAAAATGTGAAAAATCACAGGGCGATTCAAATATTGAAAATGGTTAACTCTATTTCCAGTCGACACGGAAAGTTTGAACGATCGATGGATTTTATAAAGTTTTAATTACAGAAAATTAACCTCACCAAGGCTCTTGTTCGCAAAAATAAATAATAAAAAGAAAGGGATACTTATTTCGGCCCCCATCGATCATGAGACACAAGATATTTTTATATATTTTTACATTCGAATGACTTGAATTAATTTTGATTTCTTGAAATTCTCTGAGAAATCATGAATGATTCCTAGGATTTGATAATAGGATTCTGGATTATCAGAGTGACTTTTCTAGCAGGCACCTTTTTTGATATCTGAATTTTCCCCCCCGAACACCACGTTCCAGATTGAAGATCAATAGTTAGTTATAACTACTTGGCACAAAGTTCAGATACCGAAGTATCATAAGTAGGTATTCTACGAGTATTCAGGATTTTGCATTATCAACTAATGTTCGCTTACAAGATGGAAGAGAAGATGGATGAAATATACTATTCTGTAAGTGAATTTTGGTAGAATATCAATGTGAAACTGTCTTTGCGATGTCCGAAAGCCTACACCAAGATGGATGATATTAGGATGTTGATTGAGGATATCAAATTCTAAAGCGTGTGGTATGTCGAAGCCTTTCAATCTGCTCAATCATTGTGGTACATCCTTGAAAAGCAGTCGAGTCAGTCAGTCAGTTATTGCGCCAGTCAGTCCATTGGTTCTATGTGGTATCCCATTGACAATGCCTCAGGTAATTGACCTAGCATGAAGCGCAGTTTTGTCTCGTTACACTTTGTCTGGGAACTTTCGAATTTATAACAATTTGCACCGAGTAGCACAATATTTCAGTGTATCTCTTTTCTTCTCTAGTATTGAACTCAGTTCTAGTCGAAATGATATTGAAAACTTGATTATTCATGTTCGTTTAAATGGAATTTGTTCAGAAAACTGATGAAATAATGCTAGGAGTATTTCTGCAGTTCTGCATAGTGAAGAAATCGAAAATTACTTTTCTGTTTCACTACTAGAGAAGATCGCTAGTATTCACACAATCAGATATTTCAAATATCTTTAGGTTTTTCATCGCAATTATAAATATACTGGATTCTTCATGAATGAGATAGTTTTTTGGTCTTGGTATAGTCTGCAAAGTCACTTGAGATAGCTTGATCAACTGACTATACCTATTATTCTTCATCAGCGTACACTTACGCTGACTTCATCATTGAATAAATATGAGACCAATAGGAGAATTAGAACATTTATTTGTGTAATCTATGTCCCTGAGCAAATATATGTATAGTGGAATATGAACTTTATCTAGTAAAAATACAAAATTGCGAAAAAAAATCAATCGATTTTCGGGATAATTCACGTTGACCTGTACAGAACAAACTCATTGTTCTGCAGTGGCATTAATACAGGGTGGCCCATAATTAATGAAAATTCCTTGGGTGAACATTTTGCGATTTGGCCACACTTGGTTTGCTTCAGTTTTAAAGTTGATTTTCAATCATGCTATTATTTTTCGTACGACGAACAGGATCTTGGAATTGTATTTAGTTTTCAATAAAACCATATATAGGATTCATGAAAAAGACGTCAATCCGTTAAACATTTTACTGCTTTTATGTTGCCATTTTATGGTTCGGGCATCTATGTTTCAATATAAATGGCGTCAAATTTGAGAATTCAGAGCTGACGCAGGTATTGAAAAAGAGGAGAGGGTCCTCCACCTATTTTTTGTTTCGTTTTCTAAAAAAAATCTTGAAGCACTGTGTACTAAATTTAAAATGAATATCTTATATTTTAGTCCTTCCAAAGTCCGTTAAAGCGCTTCGAGCAAGGAATGTTCTTCTTGAAAAGGAATATTCTCAGATTATGAACATAAAAAAATTAATTTATATATAAAGAAATACATTGGGAATTCGCATTCTCTATGTGATCAAAATATCAATTCTTTCTCGGTTTATTCAACAGAAAACAACTACTTTCCTAGCTATACATGAAAAAAAAGGATTGGTCGTTCGAAATTACGGACCGGCAACACGCGCGTCTTATGTTTTTTGCTGGAACTGCGCGAATTGACTTTGGAAAGACTATAGGAAGGTAGTTACTCAAGTTGATGTCAAGTATATGTTTGAAGACGAAAATGGATTGATTTCGATATATTACCTACTTTTTCGGTCGCTGCTGAAAAAGTGAAATGTTGGACTGCAGCATACGAAATTAATTGAGATAGAAAATGGCAACCTTATTGACGTATGAAGAAAAAATATGTTTCTGCATTCTGAGTGTCTTGAGTTATAGATGATTGGCACTATTTTTGGTTGGACTAAAAAAAAAATATGTTCTGCACCTGCTATGGAATGAAAAAATGAAAGTATAATTATGTGATCTGATACATTTTTTTATCATCAAATATGGAATACATAGTTCTTTTTTTGAATTATGTTCTCATAATGTCCACAGATTGATTATACCTAGACAAAGTGTAACAGATTTAATACATGTTACAAATAGATTCTTTATAAGAGATGATTTTTGAGTTTGGAATTTGTCATTTTCAACGCGTATCAGGTAATGATTTGATTAATTTTTTCGAATTTTTCATGTAATCAGTATGCTGAACGTTTTTTCTCTGCATTAGGATCTGAAGGACTACATGAGACAAGCTGGAGAAGTGACTTTCGCAGATGCTCACAAGCAGAGGAAAAACGAAGGGTGAGTTTTAATTCTTGTATTGACCTATGAAAAATCGCTAAATTTTTTTGCGAAAATAGACATAAAAAATTTCAAATGAATAATACATTATTTGGAATTCCACTTTGTAAAAATGATGAAAGTTGAACTAATGAAAATTAACAGAAAATATTCACAATTCTATTGACCCTACCTGCCTGACCCAATTAATGAAATATTTTTAAATTCAAAATAATTATATTGTGCACTTTGAGTATGGATAGAAATGTACAGGGCGAACAACTAAGAATAGCTGCCATCATTCTTCCAACTTTCATCGTTAATATCTTCCCTTAGCGAAAAGCGATCATGTTGCAGTTTTCGTTGGTCTGCTGAGATTTAGTTTCTTTATTTCATCTTGATACTCTAAATCACGTCCTCTAGCGCCAACGGTGATATGAATATGAAACCAATTCAAATTACATTTGATAGAACAGGAGGAGGCCTTTACAATGAGTCCAAGATTGTTGAATTCTCTTGAAGATAACCAGAGTTACAGACGGTTAGAAAAAACATAATTCGACGTTCCCGCACCACTTTATTTTTTGAGATGGGACAACAAGTGTGAAACAAATAAAATCAAGATCATCAAGGATCAAACTGCATATATTCTCAGTACACCTTGTTACTACTAAATACGGAGAAAATTTAAATTTTCTCTACTCATAGCCGTTACGCCATCTAGCGGTTATTGTAGAAACATTATTCGTTGCTGAGATATGGCCGACAGCCGTTCTAAGTTGTTCACCCTGTACAGTAACACAATTCAATTTAGTAACAAAATTCTTGATTTATATTTCAGAATCGTTGAGTTTGCGTCTTACAAAGATTTAAAAAATGTTCTTGATAAGTTGGACGGCACTGATCTCAATGGCAGAAAAATTAAACTGGTTGAAGATCGTAACTTGAAGAGGAGCAGAACTGCGTCAAGTAGCAGAAGTAGATCACGTTCAAGGTAAAAGAAACCTGAAATTTGCCTCTTTAATCTGATTTGAACACTAGAAATTGTTTCCTTTGTTTTCACGAGTAACAAAAAATGAAATGGTGAATCCAACGAAGTGACTAAAATTTACATCGGCACTAGTTCGTGATGTTTGGTCGAACCATTTTTTTCTTCAAATCCGATCAAGGAGTAGTTACAGCTTGCGGCTTGGCATCGTTCATTATGTTGAAAAAACGGCATATTCCTAAAATCTGTTTGAAACACTTTTTCTAATTCTTTCAATTTACTTGTCTGTCCTTGAAAGTTGATAAAAAATAACAGATCATGTAGTTTCATTATTGTTATCCATGTGAAAATAAATGGATTCAGATAATAGATTGCCACAGTGGATTCTCGAACTCTCTAATTGTATAAAATTATGTGTTTAGGTCCAGGAGTCGTTCAAAGAGATCCAAATCACGTTCAAGAAGCCCCGCCCATGATGGCTCCCGGTCTCCTAGTGACAAAGACAAGAATGATTCCAGGGCCAAATCTTTGTCAAGGTCTCGATCTCGATCCAAGAGTAGGTCTCGCAGCCAGTCTCCAGAATCTTCCCACAAAGAAGATAATTAGTCAGATGGTAAACTTGAGAATGTATCACATTTTTGAATTAATTGTTCCAATTGGAACCAAGAGTAGGTGTTCGTAATATTGACATGACTGGATGATTGAATGATTTATTTGAAACAATATTTTAATATTGTATCTAATCTTTTTTCTGGGTTTTAGAAATAAGCTTTTGTTCATTAGTCTTCCTCCAATCAAGGTTGAACTATTACTTTATTATTGAATGTGTAAAGGATTCTTATTTTTATCCTTCTATTTCAATATTGATAGTTGCAAACTGATTATTTTTAATATACCTACTTGGATGGAGAATAAAACTTTCAAGTTTCCTTTTGTGTACTTGTTGTGATGTGGAAGACTTCATAAAATAATATCAACCAATGTATTTTGTGTTTAGTTCTCCAATTAAATTTAATGATGATGATTTTTTGTTTATTGTACTAGTCCCTCCACTTACGATTACCAGAGTTGTAACAAATCAATATCGCCGCCCATTCTCTCTTTTAAATATAATCAAATATTCTTCAGGAGGCTAGGCAACCCATCTTTCATTAATACAGATTCAAAATCCGTGCGCGCACCTAGGTCGGTTATGGTTAGGAGGGGATTTCCGAAATGTCTTGCGCTGGTCATTTCACTCTTGAACGGGCAGTTTTCTCAACCAAGTGAAGAATTTAACATCCACGTCGATCGAACCCAAATTTGGTGTTTTTGGTTTTATATGTGCCCAATGTTCCTTTGGAACATCTTGGCCTGTGCCTGCATTTCATATTTAGGTGGGTAAAACTCTTTTAAACTACTTTATGATTGTTTATTCGACCCATTCAGGTCACATGTTAGTTATACCTACTGTTCTTTACTTATTTGTATAATGGCTTCACCTCTTATTATTATGTGATGTACCGTCCTGGGACTCATTAGCGCATTTCATATTTAGGTTTTCGACGTTTCGCTGAACCACGTGATTTTGGTGAACTTAAGAAGCAAATAAATAGTCTCCTGAACCATCAGCGTTTCTATCAGCAAACCCACCAAACCCCTGAGACTGTTACAGCGTTGAGATGGTTATCTCATATTTGGAATTAGGTACTTGGGACATTTTCAACTTCAACTGTTGACAACTTTGTTATAAATATTATTTCAACAGATTTGTCCATACTTTTGGATGTATGACAAATTGAATCATCATACAGGATGTGAACGTTGAGTGGTTCCATATAGGTTTTATACAGGGTGTATATCTAAATAACACCGAAAAAATTCAAGGGGTGCTTTCAGGAGGGCTTGAATGTCAACCCAAGCAAAACAGTCATCGTTCCATTCACCAAAAGAAGGAAGATCAAGTTAAAGGAACCCATTATGGATGGGACGCCTATTAATTTCTCCGAAGAGGTCAAATATCTAGGAGTAATCCTAGACAAGAAACTCACGTGGAACCAATACTTGACCAAAATCGTCAATAGGGCAATTTCAGCTCTCTGGATATGCCGAAAGATGTTTGGTCAAACGTGGGGTCTTAAACCAAATATAATCTACTGGTCTTATCTCACGGTGGTCAGACCCATGGTCACATACGCTTCTCTAGTGTGGTGGACCAAAAGTAAGGGAAAAAAAACCACAACTTAAGCTGCAAAAAATCCAGAGACTCGCGTGTCTTGGGATCACAGGGGCTATGCGTACATGCCCTACTGCAGCAATGGAAGCTATGCTTGACCTACTGCCCTTGCATATTTTTATCAAGAGGACTGCAGCTCTCAGTGCATACAGACTGAACTCCACTGAATTGGCCAGACCAGGTGATGTCACTGGTCACATGGTCATTCTACAAGAAGTTCAAATGGAATCTGCAACCAAACCATCGGACATAATGCCAGCCAGGCTCAGTTTCGATCATACCTTTGAAGTGGTTATAAAAAGCCGCCCTAGGTACGGTTCCGCTGAGCCTCAGCTGGACAGAGGGTCCCTTGTTTGGTACACCGATGGTTCGAAAATGGAAGAAGGGGTAAGCGCGGGTATATATGGACCCGGATGTAGGCTATTCGAAGCCTTAGGTCACTCCCCCACTATCTTTCGAGCTGAAATACATGCCATCAACCTTTGCGCCCAAAGGTGCCTGAGCAAAGGTCTGAGGGGTGCCAACATATATATCTGCTCAGACAGCGAAGCCGCACTGAAAGCCCTAAAATCATTCGTTTTCACATCAAAGATTACATGGGACTGCTTTGAAACACTCATGCAACTAACAAAGTCACACTTATGTGGGTTCCAGGGCATGAAGGAATCAAAGGAAGTGAGGCAGCTGATCGCCTTGCAAAAAAAGGTGCAGCATCTGCACTTTTTGGTCCTGAGCCTTTTTGTGGGATAAGCAAATGTCACCTAAAGGGAGAACTCAGGAAATGGGAAGAAATTGAAAAGTCCTCCTACTGGAGAGCAACTCCAGGTCAACGACAAGCGAAAAGGTTCATCAACCATTCGCAGAACCGAGCCAAAGAGCTACTCAGCCACAGCAAACCAGAGCTAAAGCTTATCACAGGCTTTCTCACAGGACACAGCCCTCTGAGGTACCACCTCAAACAGATGGGCCTGGCGTAGACTGACACTTGCCGCTTTTGTAACAATGCGACCGAAACCGCGGAACACATACTTTGCCCATGTGAAGTATTAGTCCGCCAAAGGCTGAACCACCTAGAACAGGTCTATCTCACCCCTGCTGGAGTGGAAAAGTCAACCGTCAGGAAAATCGTAGGCTTCATCAGAAGTCTAGGGTTAGAGGACCAAAACTAGATAGGGGTAATCACAATAAATCTTCTAGGTCGCAGTGATCGAGAGGTCTCCCAGCCTATATGACCCATCTACAATCTACAAGGGGTGATTCCTCGTAATATTTTAGGAAATAAAGTTCATATAAACATGTGTCCTAATTTCCTTCGTTTTCGAGATACAGTGTATTAATATTTTCATAAAAAATCTCTTTTCTATTCATTTCTCAATAGTCTTTTATCAATGTCAATAAAACGTTTTGGCCCTAATGGAAAAACATTGGGTGCCTATCCTATTTGGATTCTCTCACGGACCTTGATGATGATGTTAATCGAGATCTATTGGCAAATGATATTCATTCAACAAGATAGTGCGCCACCCCATTCCGTATTACAGATGAGAGAATGATTACCACAATATTTCCCAAAAACAAAGAGATAGGTCGTAGATTCGTATAGAGAACCAATAAAATGGCCAGCATGCTCACCGGATATGGCACCTATAATGATTTTTTTTGTTTAGGATAATTTGAAATCCGTTATTTATGAAACGGGACCTACTGATCTGGATGATGTGGAAATAAGAATAAGGATTTAATGCCAGGCAATAACTAGAGAAGCATTTTCAAATGTGGATGAGGAATTTGTAAATAGACTACCACTCTCGGGGAGTCAATGGAAGTCATTTTGAACATTTGTTGTGGATAAATATTCAATAATTCATTCCATACATTCATTTACTCACAATTAGGAATTATACCATTTGAACTCGAATATCTTGAAAACGGCTTGTTGGAATTCAAAAAACTTTGAACTGCTAGTGTCAGAATTGAATCCCCTGTTCAAATTATCGAGGAGTTTGCATATCCGTATTGACAATCAATACGGATAATCTCTATCTGTTTCCATAGCGAAACATGAAGCCGATTTTTGAAGACAAATGACTAGGTACCCATAAGGAAAAGTGAGATACGATCAGACACATACTGCTTTGATTGAAAGGCTAGTAAACGTCATTGTCCACCGAAACGCATGTCTTTGATGACTACGTATATCATGCCACCAAATCCTTATGGATATTCATTTGTTTCATATTTTTGGCTTCATCCTGGCACCCGTTATGATCCGTATTGTTTATTAATACGTATATGGGAGTTTGCTATGTTTCGTTATTTTTTGTAAAATCAATTTTTTGCGAGTTATCGAGGGTAGATAGTCTTGATTGGACCACCCGGTGTAAGCGGTTATATGCGTCATTTCTCACAATGAAATCTGTTGCTCCGAGTGTTGCTCCACCGGAACGCCTCATTCATGTTCCAGCTATTTCGACCTACAAATATAAAATAAGTGAGAGAAGAATAGTTCAAAGGGCATTCGGGTTTCACATGGGCGAATCTGAAGGAGGGTCCTGCTCCACAGACAATTCTACCAATGCTGCTATAGTATTTTCCATATTACTGAATCATTTCAAATAAGAACAATTTATTGAATGCTTGTTATTTCGGATTTCTTTTCTAGTTAGTAGAAACTTGAATAGTGTAGAAGGAGAACATGGTGATGTCCAAATAACATAAACATATTCTGGTGGTGGTGGTTCGTTGTTATTAACTGATATAGTAAAAATCCAAAGCTATTTTTAAAAGCAAACGACATAGACATCATCAGTCACACGACATTTTCTCTTGGAAAATGTCTTCATAGCGAATATAAAATAATTAGAAATAAATATTCAGCTTGTTATTTTAATAATATATAATTAAACACCAAGATTGGACTGGAGAGTCGGAACCCCTACTGACATCCTTAACTCACGCAAACGACATAGATATTATTAGCTGTACCACATTTTTCCAAGGAAAATGTCTTCATAGCAGCATAGATCTAAATACACAAGAAATGGCCTTAACTTTGGTCCATCAGATTATATGGTAATGACCTTACGAAAGAAATTAGAATCAACCTGCATATATATGTTGGTTATGAAGAGATATATTTATGGTAGGTATGGTATTATTCAGAACCACCTCGATTAGCTAGCTCTACTTTGACGATTTTCCTTTTCCCCATGAAACACCCTCTATATATATTATATCACGTGAATTTATTGTTTGTTGTATTCCATGAACTAACAAGGTCCACAAGTAGTTAATTATTATTTCGATTGCTCAATATATTCTTCATTATAATTTACATCTATGAAAGAAAACATGGGTCTATCCTTCGAAGAGCACAGCTTCATTGAAACAACGACTGTTGATTTCCTAAAGTGCACAAATAATTTGGGAAGAACTAGTATAAAACCACTATTTATACCTAAGTCGACACCCTCCTTGGTAGACAGGCATTAAGGTATGTTCATGCTTGTACGAATTCCGCAAAATATATGAAGTTGAAATATTTGTACTTTTTTACGAATTCGGATGGAATCATAACCACACAGTATGCATAATGGCATGAAATGTGTGGTTATTTTGATAACATCAAAATCCAGACGCAATAATTAATAGGAGCTGTAGTGTTCGAAGCATTTTTAAATGCCGAAAAATGTATGGAGACTATTATTACAGCTTCGTTCGATAAATGCGACTGAATGACCCTAATGAATATTTCAATTACTATCATGTAACGTGCCTTCAATTTGATGAACTATAATTCTATCGATGGT